CCCAGTTTATAGCAATTATATAATAGCAACAGGTAAATTATTTTTGCTTTTTATTCTTACGACATTCGTTTGGTAGGACACATATCCGTTTGATTTCATCAAAAACATATCCTTGTCTACAATCACAGCCATTAGCTTCACATATATCTGTTGAACATTTGATGGGCTTTTGATCATAGTTGCTACATAGATTGCCACAGTTCAAACCGCAACCTCCACCTTCAGCGTTGGGATCTCCACCGCATGAAGCTATAGGAAAACGATGGAAAAGGATTGTGCATATTTATTTTATGAAGAATTGAAAAAGGTAAAATTAAAGGTGAAATATTATAGTTATAATATTTTTTTTCTTATAATCAATTTTATAATCAAAACGGTCATCGAAATGGTGGTATCTACATTAAATTAATATTTCTTTCTAGTATATTTAAAGAAAAAAAAGAATAAATAAGTATAAAACACTTACGGCATTCCCTAATTGGTATACAAATGCTGCTGTTATTCAATACGAATCCATTTTTACAAATACACTTAGGTTCGCTTGGGCATCCCCTTTCTGGATCAATATCTGCGCAGGGCACAGGATATCCTACTTCATCACAAGTTAAGGGTCTGCAGGCACCATCGGGGCAATCCGAAAATTCTTCATTTAAGCCTAAAAGTGTTGTACAAATGTAGTGGAAAGTAAAAATCTATGTAAAAATACAGATAGATAAGAAAGTATTTGATAAAACTCACCACAGTCATTTTCATTTCGATAATCATCCGAATCTTGTTCACATGTTTCTAAAAATTAGAAAATTGCTTTTTCTTTAATTAAAATTTTCAATTCAATAGGTGTGGTTACTATAAATCAAATCAATACTTCCAGCTTGTATTCAAGGTTTCTTACATGGCCATCTCGCAGATAATTTCATTGTTATGAAGTTTATTCACGAATTTAAATTTTTATTCGTAAAATTAATAACCGCGCGAAATTATAGTCACTTCATAAATATATTCTCGGAGTGAGTAGGGTACTGCTTTTTAAAAAAATAATAAGATTAATAGAATTTATTTTACCGATTTTTTTCAGTCTACAAAAATGTATTCATAACTCAACTATTATTAACCCGTTAATGTCCATTTTAATTGCTATGCGAACGGTCCCACATACTTAGCTCAGTAAATAAAATTCAAATCTAAATTACCTAAGTAATTATAATAGTTGTCGTAGTCTTCAGATTGAACCGTAATATTGCTTTGGTGAAGCACAAATCGTGCAAAGTACAAGTCGTGCCTATATCATTCCCGTATCAACTCTCATGGTATTAATTACGGTATTGGGTATTATTTTTACCGGCTAGTTGGGAGAGACAGTGGGTTTATAATAACAGCACCCCAGTCTGTATTGAAAACTAATCGGAAATTATTATTTATCACTGAGGTCTTATAACATACATGTATAATGTAGAAATTAGATATCAATAATTTATTTTATTGGTGCATAGGGCGGACCAAAAAACTGTCAAAAAAACGATTCCCAAATAAAATAAAAGGTGAACTATTATTTGAAATTCGTCGAAAGTTCCAGAACTTTACGACAATTTTTATTCACATTTTATAAATTTGAAATATGTGTTGTTATATCGGGATAGACATTTACTAAAATAATTAAAGGAGTGCCTTTTCTAAGCAAACAGGTTTTTTTGTGAGTGATTTTTTTATTTCATCACGAGGTATCTTGAGACAAACCACAAAACTTTATTTTACTGATTTATTTATTTAATTTCGTTAGTGGTCTTCTGTTGAGTACTTTTATTTTTTGTTACGCAATCTCGCTGCCTGATTTTTAAAATATAAATATGAAAAATTTCGGATATAAATATTAAACAACTTTTTTTAAAATAAAATAAAGAGATTAATTGCGATGTCTAAATTTTTTCAGTTTTCTCTTATCACACAATTTCGTAAGAAATTTATAATGCAAGTTAAATAAATACCTTCAGTAGAGTCTGCTAGAAGCACATTAGCGATACAGGCTACAAACAAGAACGTCTTTAACATTTTAACCAAAGAATGCTTTCTGAAGTGCTTATCAAGGCTATTCACTGTTTTATAGTCGCCGTTTATACAAGTTCGTGCACTTGTACAAATATATAAGTAAACATATTATGTTAAGGATGCTTTTGTAAATATTTAAATAAAAGAAAAATAACACTGTTTTTTTTTTCGTTTTGCCATTTACATTTTCATGTGAATCTTTTAAAGCATTTTAAACCGGTTTCTTTAATTTAAACATATTTTAAATTAACATAATCGTTTCAATCGGTTGAAAATTTGTTAATTTGTTTCAATTTCAGGAAACGTTCATTGTCATGTCGTTCTTGAATTGACTCGTATACCGAAATTGTTTTTCTTTGATATTTCGATATCAATAAACGTATTAAGTCCCCTAGAAGAATAATGCATCAATTCTACAATTTCTCATTTTTAGAGATAGACTCTGATTCTGCCCGCGTCAAAACTTTTTTTTTTTCTTGTACTTATGTAATAAAAAATAATAAGGTAATTAATATACATAGTCGGAGCTCACCTTCAACTGACTTACCTGTTGACTTTATTTATATGTCTGGTTATTTATTATTTGTATATTTCTTATTTTATTTATTATTCATTTACGTGCTTTCATTAAACGTGTTTACTGCACTAATAATTTAAAAAAAACTCGAGGAGGTTTTTTTTTTTTTATTGCTTAGATGTGTGGACGAGCTCACAGCCCACCTGGTGTTAAGTGGTTACTGGAGCTCATAGACATCTACAACGTAAATGCGCCACACACCTTGAGATATAGTTCTAAGGTCTCAGTATAGTCACAACGGCTGCCCCACCCTTCAAACCGAAACGCATTACTGCTTTACGACAGAAATAGGCGGGGCGGTGGTACCTACCCGTGCGGACTCACAAGAGGTCCTACCACCAGTAATTACGCAAATTATAATTTTGCGGGTTTGATTTTTATTGCACGATGTTATTCCTTCACCGTGGAAGTCAATCGCGAACATTTGTTGAGTACGTATTTCATTAGAAAAATTGGTACCCGCCAGCGAGATTCGAACACCGGTGCATCGCTCGATACGAATGCACCGGACGTCTTATCCTTTAGGCCACGACGACTTAAATCCAATATGGATATACCGAAAATATGAGGATACATACGTCTGAGTTGAGGAAAACTGTGAACGTCACTACAATAGTTTTAAAACCCGATGACGTCTAAAATTGAAGACGACTGGCTTTAAAATATGCGCATGAGGTAATAAAATCCTTAATCTTATACCCTTAAACGAGCAATTCTTGTATGTTAATATATATGTCGGCGCAAATATTACTATTTACCTACCTATTATAAAAATAATAATGATTCAATGTAATAATCGGATCATCTGGTCATCAACTAATTACTCTGTGTTTGTTAAGATGAGAAATTGATGTTAAGCAGTCCCTTTTACTGTAATTTCAATACTTTAAAAACTTGTAAACACGCTGACGTGTACCAAGCCCTATAAATATACGGCCGTATTATCTAGCGCTTGGTCATTCGTGTCCGATCGGTAGCACAGTACCACGGATCTCTCTGAACGTTGTCACGCTTCTCGTGAAATATACGCAGTTCTTGTGAAGTTCTCGTGAAGTTTTGTTTTGGAAGCCCAAACATGAGTCATCGTCAAGAATTTAATCACTTTTTAAAAAACATTACTTTTGTATCTCCTACGTCATATATATATGTAATCTGAATCTCGGAAACAACTCCAACGATTTTCATAAAATTTAGTATACAGGGGATTTCGGGGGCGATAAATCGATCTAGCTGCGATTTATTTTCAGAAAATGTTGTTTTATTCGTGTTTTCAATAATCAACTGTTCCCGACATCTATTGGCGAATAATAATACTATTTTTCTTAATTGAGGGCAACTAACCGCTTTAAAGACACAACAAGAGGGCGTTATCAAAAAAAAAAAAAACTAGCAAAGCTCGGTCATCATCTAGTATAATCCTTAATTCAGACGATAACTGTTTATAGATGACAAGCTATCTGATGACTGCGGCTTCGTCCGCGTGTCCAAGGAGTGTAAATATTTTTTAGATAATAAAACAGTTTCCCGTGGGAACGAGATGTTTTTTCGGGATAAAAAAATCATGTCATTCCGTCGTTTCATGTCAGTGTGCAAGATGGACAAACAAACAAACACTCCATGCTTATAATATGAAGCTTAGAGACAAATCGTATATGATCACGATCTTCATTAGTGAGGGTACGACAAAGAAGAAGAAGAATGAATATCCGATTTGGTTATGAAGCATCGGAAATGCAGTGAAGTACGATTTACCAAGAATGGACTTTCCAATTTGATTTGGACTTTTTGAGCGCCATCTTGACAATAAGACACGACATGTCTAATTTTTTTTATAAAATATAAAGTTATAAAATATTCGCAATATATTATTTTCGTATGTTAATTGCGGATTCCCAATAATATAAATATTGCTATAATATTTAAAGTGAAATAAATAAATAAGTAAATTGGACCCAAGATAGATGCTCCACCTACGTTAAAGTGCATACATATACATATCAACCAACATACATATTCTTCAACCTATTTGAGTGAGATCTTCAAGATCCTCCTCATAATCCCCGGACGAGAAGAGGACACTGGTCGACGTGGCGAGGTATATATGTAAGCGGGGTACCACTGACTCACTCATCACAAGACCTCCGAAGCTGTATGTCCGATTGAATTGAAACTGAGCATCGTTGTTCATTTCAAGTCATGAACGCTCACTAGGAACAGATTTTAAGGAAAGCCCCACATTTCTATTATTATTATTTTTTTTTACTAACGTCTGTTGAGCTAACTATTTATATACATTCTAGATATAGCTACTACATTATAAATATAGCATACTATAGGTATATACTATTTATATATGTTTACTTTTTTATCTATTTTAAATGTGTAGTATGTTTATTGTAAAAAGATTTGTATGGATAGTACAATTAGTATTTGTATGGATAGTGTGCCCTCAGTTAGACGGCTGCTCTTCTTCGTCAGGGTTTGCGGGTGCTTCTGCATCTCAGGAAAAAATTTTGCAATGTCCAAAATGTCCCCAAGTGAGGCTTTTTAAAGGAAATCGTGGTCTCAAAATACATATCAGTCGAAAACACCCAACATTTGGAAGGGTAACCCTTCCTCAAATCATACCATAATTCCTTCACACCCTATAACTTCTCCGTCACAACCAGATAAACTTTTTTGGGAAAAAAATTCAGAATTAAAAAAGAACGTTCCAGTTATTAAACGAATTCCCCGTGGTGCAAGGATTGCAGCATCACAATCGTTATCAAATTTGATCAAAAACGTTATAGTACAGAATTCTGTTTCGGCCTGGGAGCGTCTCCTTCTTTTTCCATACAGAATTTTACACATTAGACCTAACAAAAATATTAAAACGACTATAACACAAACAATCAAAGATAATTGTAATGATAACACATACATCTCTAGCCATGATTTCAATAGTGATTCATTCATTTTGTCAACCAAAAAATCCGACTCTGAGATCACATTTTTTTTAAAAGTTGAAACTAGACTCGGTGATGGTGATATAAGGGGTGCTGCAAAACTTTTGTTTTCAACTGATGTAATAGCACCTGATACCTCCGATACTTTGCAAGCTCTCGAAAGTACCTAGTCAGGTCATAAATTCTGTCACATGTTTAATGTAAAATAATTGAAACAAGTTTATTCATTATGTAACCATTCATATACCAAAATGAACTTAACAAAACATAGATTCTTATGACACTAAAGTTTATTCAAAATGACCTCCGTGATTTTGAATA